GTGCAATGGGGGCTTAGAATTTCCAGTTCACAGCTTTTGCAATCATTGAATAATTTTTCGGGCTTCTCATCGGCCCTTCAGTTTTGCTGACGACTGTTTTTGGTCACCTGGAAGTCCAGAGATATCCAGTTTTGTTGCGTTTAGTGTTAAAAAAACTCCACCCGTTCGGCCGGCTTTGGCCCCCTCAGAGCCAATGGGCTCGTTCGGGGCCTAAGGGGGGCATGGCCCCGTACCCCCCCCCCCCCACTCTGGATCCGCCCCTGGTTTACCATTAACATCCAACGTAGTTTAGTTTGCATGTCAATGAAATCACATGAAAGCAGGCCTTTTCTTGTCAGAGTGCTCAATACGTACGAAAAACTCAGAAAAACATTGAACACGACTTTTTAATAGCCTTTTGGTGCATTAATCCAACGTGAAACGGCTACTGTGGGGATCAGCGGTGGCTGGTAATGTAAATCTCTCATCGCCCGACACCACATTTCTCGTTCAAATCACCTATTGAAAGCCCACAGCTGACGGCAGCCGGAGTACACCGAGAGTGATGGCCATAATACGGAGGCCCGGAATCGACCCCGAGATAGAATATCACTTAATACTGGCAGCCCGGCTAGAAAAGTGATGTGGACAGAATCCGCGTTTCATTTAAAATGCTTTCAATTGTGCACAGAAGGTGCAGCATTCCGCCAACATTGTTATTGTGGGGGTACCATCGGCTGACGACGTAAATATCACATCGGTCGATATGAATTTTTAAGTATTCGAAACATCCCACGTCAGCGCAGAATTGACGGTAGATTGCCTACATATCAATTAATGGTCATAATACGGCGGTCCGGGAAAAATACATATGTTCAAACCCAAAAATCGGAACTGTGTTGTTTAAAAAGCGCTGGTGTAGGGCTATTATCTGTCAGTAAAGCACACTCCAGGTTTTCGTTTCGACACTGAATACTAGCGTGTCGGTCTGAGCGGTGATTCGAACAGATACAGCGTCCAATGTGAACTACTATTACTTGCACGAGGAAGTTGCAGCCTTGCCGTATTAATAATGTGGTCGTGAGACCACTGTCGACCGATCACTAAATCTCGCGAACGGCGCATCACACATTGCTGATGGGCCGGCAGAATAAATGACTTGTACAGATGCAACGTCCAAATTGAAACACTTTTACTGGTGCGCGAAATGTGTAACATTGCGCTAACGATGTTTATGTGGAGTACTATCGGCCGGCAATATAAATTTCGTATCACTAGACAAAACCTTTTTTATTCAAATAATCTCTTGCCAGCGCAAAGCTAACGACCACATGCCTTCACTTATCCACATCCTCACGCATCCTTACGCTATGGGAAAATACTCATCATCAAGCCCAGATGTTGCGGCTGCATGCATTCGTTAGCAATGCTACCGGGCTGTCCAGCTGCCAGGACATCACACTCCGACGACTTTGATTTCGATTTGTTTAGGTCCCACCCCCGGCAGTGAATCACCCAGTGCTGGGATGCCGGCTGGAGCATTGCAAGCACATGATGTCCAGTTTAAAATAATGCTTCCTGTGCGCGCAAGGTGCATTCTTGTGCTGACTATGCTATGCAGGAGAACTGCCATCCAGCAATGTAGGCCTTGCATCGGCCGAAATTGCCTTTTTTGTTTCGGTCAATCCCTGACAGCAGAGAGCTAACGGCGGCTGGCCAGCACGCAGAGTGATGGGCATAACACGGCAGTTCTGAAAAAAATATTATACCCAAACTCCAAGCTTGCGGCTGCGTGCATTTCATAGCACTGGTATACGGCCATCAACCATAAGTACAACACACTCGGAAAGCTTCCGTTCGATTTTTTTCCGGTCGACTCCCCCTCCGCCAGCAATGAGCCATTCGATGTGACTGAATGAGCCATTTCATACGGCTATCAAATGCCAGTACAACACGCTCTTCAGATTTTGGTTTCTATGTTTTCGGTCGATCTCCCCGAGAGCGTATCATTCAATACTGGCGAGTCGCCTGGAGGAGCGATTTGCACACTTAAGGCGCCCCATTTCAAGTACTTTTTCTTGCATGCGAAAGGTGCAGCCTTGTGCGCAGGATGTCATTCTGTCATGTTTGCTTATCTAATTTTCCCTTGACAACGCAGAGGTTGCGGTAGCCGGCGCGCATATAAATAATTGATGGCCGTAGTACGGCGGCAAAAAACAAACCTAAAATCAAACCCTATGATTGCGACTGTGGGCATTCAACAGCACTGGTATTGGGCTATGAGCTTCCAGAACCAACACACTCGTCTGGCTTTGCTTCATTTTTTCCTTCGACCCTCCGTATGTAACGTATGTATGCAATGCAAATTACATCGACCGATGACCTTTCTGTTCAAATCTGCCCTTGACATTGGAGAGCTACTGGCGTCCGGTCAGCTCGTGGAGTAATGGCCATCATACAGCTCCACGGGAAAACAATTGCTAACAAACTCGAAGATTACGACTCAGTGCATTCGAAAGCACTGGTCGACTTCGGCGGTTTATGTGGTGTGCGCTGCGTTTGTTTGTGTGAAGCGCACTGACGCCATCCCTCCTCAGCCCTGTTGGACGGCGTGTGTACGGGTTTTACGGCGTGCAATAAAACAGACGGAATGTCAAATATCACCGTTGTGCGCTTTATCCCATGACCAAGTCTTCTGGCTTTGCTCAGAAGTTTGCAAAGATGGCGAGCAAATCTGCATTTGGGGTGGTCGCCGGCGTCAGTAGTACCAATCGCTGTCGTCAGTGGCGCTGCCTTTACCGTGCCTGCGAGCGGGTACGACAAGGATTATGAAGCAGAAACCAGTGCAGTGCTTGAAACAAATAGTTGCCAAGTGAAGAAAAAGGGAAAACAGAAATCTGCCGATTGCAACGTTTCCTACGGACGGGACATGTACACTGAATTGATGGGGAGAGTCACGGGCCGGAAGAAGCATGAAGATGGACGAAACGCGGGGTGAAAAATTAAATGTCAATCAAACGGTAAGAGGATTGGTTGGCAGCTGACAGTAGCAGCTGACATCATCCAACATCGCAACATCCAGCGTTCATAGCATCCAAGATGCGTATAATTCCGCGCTCATTGACGAATTTCATGGCATCCAAGCTCGCCGCGTCCTAAGCCATAACAGACAACCTTAATAACATCCAGCGATCACGACGTCCCGTTCATTAACTTTGATTGACATTGTTTTCCAGCCTTTGGACATCATGAGCGCTGAATGTTATGAGCCTTGGATGCTGCGATTGGGGATGCTGCAAGCTTAGATGTTGTGATTATCCCCTGTTCAGGCACATTGAACAATTTTTGAATGCTATGAACACTGCATGCTGCGATTTTGGGCGTTTTGACCATTGCGCGTTATGAACTCTGGATATTTCAATGAGCATCCGGCAGCAGCACTTGGCAGATTGAGTAACCGTGGTTGGCAGGTTACCACAGAATAGCTAGTAGCTTGGTTATTCGTTTAGTTTAGGTCGTTAGCGTTTGTTTAGGGTATCCAAGACGATCAAAATACCCAGAACCGAAGGTGGGCAAAGACTCGATAATAGCACGTGGCAACAGGTGGGTCTATGACCACCTGATTAACGACAGGCAGTCGACAACTCCACCTGCATTCAGTTTGAATTTTTGGATGACCGAAACCTGAAAATATAAAGTGTCTCCAAGATGATCGGACATGCCCAAGATCACCAAAGATTGATATGCAAGCAAGATAGTTATGCTAGATTATCAGCCCATCCAACCGGTGATCAACTAGTCAACAGCAATGCAATCAATCTTTGCGTCCCCAACAGACATTATCAAGATTTTATCAGACATTGCGAGCTGTTAGTTTCTATTCCCACAATAGCTGTCCTTCAATATACCAAACAGTACTGATTAAACAACATTATCAAAAAAGCATTGGTTGTCAGCAACACTCGAAAAACCTACTTGACGTTATTCCAAGCTGTTGCACAGAAAGTCGCGAACATAACGCAAAACTGACTGATGAGGGAAGGGATTAAGTCAATGCAGACAAGTTTGTTTTGCCAATATGCTCGTTTCACCAGTGCCTCTTGGTACATTGGCATGTCAATGACCAATATTGTTAGAGTAAGAATTCGCGACTCACAGTTCTATGCATAATATGATGCCATATCGCACAAAAGATCTTTTAACCTGTCATTAGCTGAATGCGTCATATCTAAATAAGTGGAATACGAAGAATGGCACGGCCGATTCACCTAGGTCCAGCAGCGAATTTGTTCGTTGCAATCATTAGACGCGGACTGTGGTCTTAGCATGACATGGTCATGTACCACGTATATGTATAGTATGCATACATGGCACGTATGCGTGTTATGCACGGCGTCATGTATAACATGTAAACGTAATATGTGTACGTGGCATGTATACGCAACATGCATAGGTACCATGTGCACGTACTATGTACTATGCATACGCACCATGTATACACACCATATTAACGCACCATGTGTATGCACCAGGTGTACGTGTCATGGATACATACGATGTACACACACCATGTATATATTACCGTTTGTCACGGTTATGTACAGCGTAATGATGGGGGGCGAGAGTCGGATAGTGGCACGTCCATTAGGGTGACATTTACGCCCGTAATGCAAACCTTTGACAAAGCACAGAATTGACAGTAGTTCAGTCGGCCGAAGATCATCGGAGTCGAAATTCTGTATTTTGAAATGCTAGTTGATCTGTTCGGTCTAGTTCGGAATCACTTCAGGTGTCGAGCTATCCGACCTAATTCGCTATCGCGTACGCCGCGCAAGTTGGTCTTGACCGCCACCTAACAACCGGATCCGCTCGTTACACAGCTGCGTGACGTGGCGCGGGACATGCGGCGGGGCTGCGGCTGGGGGAGGGGTAGGGGCCGGGTGACATCGATCTGGCGTCGATCCCGTCGGCGGGGAGGGGGGAGGGTGCCGGGCGCGCCAGTCAGCCGACCGTGCGCTCGCAGGCCAGTCGCGGCGCTGTCCAGGTGGCCGGCGGTGGGGTGTGAAGTTCCAGAGGCCATCTCCAGACAGTGAGCGCTAGTGGAGCACCAGAGGTCATCCGTGGACGTGGCCTGATGTGGGAGTCTCAGAGGCCTCTTCAGACAGCGACCGAGAGTGGAGTACCAGAGGCCATCCCCAGACAGCGTCGCCGATCGTAGTGTAAGTCTCAGAGGCCTATTCAGACAGCGACCGAGAGTGGAGTACCAGAGGCCATCCCCAGACAGCGTCGCCGATCGTAGCGTAAGTCTCAGAAAACTATGCGGACTAAAGCTAAATCTAGGTCCTTTTCGGGAGATTAATCGAAGTCGGCATCCTATGAATGTAAGTTAAGTTAGATTAATGTCACTGAACGCGATCACCTGCGTCACAATGTCACAGGTGACCAAATGCAAAGAAGCCTTTTACATTTGATCACCTGTGCTTTAGCCGATGACCAAATGCAAAAGGCTGCTCCAAATTATATTTTTGTCTCTCATTATTTTTGTTCTGCCTTGGGGTTTGTGGATTTGTCCCATGATCGTTTTTCACATGTTATCATGCCGCCTTATGTGTCATGTCATCTGTATCTTGGCTTATTGTATATCACCGAGACGTAGCTCATCTCTGAAATCGTCAATAGTTTTCTCACCTTCCCGGACTGCCAGATAAATCAGATGAGACCAGGCTAACCAAGACGGACGCCACCGGAGAGTGGTGGAGTCTAGCTCACCTACCGAGTGGCTTTACGTAGCCGGTCTCTCACAGCTCCATCGCTGAGCTCACCTTAATGCCCTGTAGGCGCGGCTCTGCACTGGAGTCCCGATCGTCGTGGTGTTTATAAGACGTTATGTATAGATTTGGGTGTCATGGATATAAAAGAGAAGTGGCGCCATCTCCCCAGTCCTGGATCACCTGCAGGATCAGCTGATCCAGCCCGTCGCGTGGCAGGGCTGGGAAAGCCCATAGAGATTCTAGGCAACGCAAAGTGTGACGCATTTCAACCCTCTAAGCCAGAACTTCGGCGCTATTAAGAGGTCCTGCAAGGCGTCAGTTCGAACCAAACCTCCACTGATGCGACGCGTCCAGACGTGGTGGTGTACGAGACAGCCAAAATCGAGCGTTAATCGAGAGCCTGGCTTATAGCGCGCCCGTCCACCTTGACAAGCATGTGTCGGTCATACAAATGAAGCCCACACACGCGTCGTGCCCGCGACTCGCAGACAACGCTTAATGACAGCGTGACAAAGCAACTTGTTCATTCCCAATGCGGGCAGCTGCGATGATCCAGTTAGCTATTGACCATTCTCCATCACACCAACGGCTGCTCAGCGCGCCGAAGCGTCGTTTGCACACAGCTGCTGCGTTATCTGCTGCCGCCTAACATCCTCTGTGATGGGCAGCACGGTTGTATACCAGGGCGATCCGCGGACTGGACACTGCTGGTCGCTGTCAGTCATTTGGTCGTTGCCGGGCACTGACACACGCCACGAAAGCCGTGGCACGCGGAGATTGCATCGATCAATATTTATCTTCATCAGCATTTAACTGATTGGCGTATATTTATTGGCCACGCTTTGTAGCAGTGTACAGAAAGTGAAGGATGAATTGGACCAGCACTGCTTGCGAGTGGATTCCGCATATTCCCAACAAGACTCGCCTGCTAGAAAATACCCCAAAGCCTCACTTAGCGTGCCTATGCGCCTTGAGCCCATCCTGCAGCAATTTTCTGGTAATGTATCCCAAGTGCACCTCAATGCGTCTCGTCGTAACTAGCTACAGCGCAGTTCGCCGTCCCGGTAAATAACAGCCCGCGGAAACGTTTCCCAGCACGACTGCCGCAGCACAGCTGCGACACTCACTGATAGGGCAGGGGTGAGCGAGGGGTTTGGCTGGCGGTGGCGTGTGGGGGTTAGTCACGTTTTGACCATGCTGGCAGGCTGCCAGCTGGTTGCGGGCTGAGTTGTCGCAGTTTGCGCCGCGCGCGCGCGGGTGGTGTGTGCTCCAGCCGGCGCCGCAGCCAGGCCCGCCGCCAACAGCGCGGGACCAGACACCCGCAGGCGACGTCAATATTTACCGTCCGACTGCCGGACTGCGGCCCCGTGTCTGACGACGTGCCGCTTCCGCCCCTGCAGACACGCCTCGGGCGTCGGCTGACGACCCGGCCAGCCGCGCGACCTGAGCCATGCCCGAGCCGAGTGCTGCCGGCGGGGCCGGGCGGGGGCTGACACTGAGTCAGTTCCGGCACCACTATCTCTACAGCCCGCAACCACCGCAAGGTAGGTCGTCGACCATGCGTGCTGTGCAGAGCAGTACAGAGAGTTTCCCAAGATGAGGGAACTAAGCAAACCTCACTGAATACTGGGTTTGGCACGCCACAGATGCGTGCAGTTTTTGCGTGTTGTAAAGCGTCACTTTTGTGATCTTACTGTTAAAAATGTGTCTCCTAGAATTTGCCATTTTCAGCATTTTGTCGCGTGCAAATTAATATACGCCATACATTTCAAAATGGCAGGGCAAATTTCCGCTGGAACTGCAAAGCTCCAAATGTGTGTACACCTTTACTGCTGTGCTTCCTGGACTTCTGCTGCTGAATAGCTGATTTGAATGCTTGTCGTAGTTATGCAACATGCGAGCAAATCTGCGCACCATGTTTCCAGGCCAGAGCCTACCCACTGACTTCGGTAATCTGCTACATGGTCGGGACGTGGCATATGGGATTATAATTTTGGCCCGTAGTAAAACTGAGGTAACGCAGCGCATTCACTCGCGAGGGTAACTCTTCAAAGTCAACCCAACTGTTCCTCGGAGCTGGGGCCCAGCTTGGCGTGGGCGGGTCAGTATGCGGCACGTGTACGTAATCGACTACCTTCATTCACGCGATATACGGTCCTGCTGTGCAGCGCAACCGTGTCTTTGTTCTGTGCTTGGATAATTATATGTTACGTATGAAAATAAAGCCTTTTCCATGGCATTAGGACGCTCTCCGATACCTGGTGACTGTTAAATAGGCGGCACGCGGTTAAAGCCATGAATCAGGTGCAATGTTGGCGCAAGACTTGTACACTGTTACACAATATGTTACGTAAGAAATAAAGCTTTTTCCGTGATATTAGGACGCTCTCCGATATTTGGTGACTGTTTAATAGGCGGCAACGCGGTTAAAGCCATGAATCGAGGGCAATGTTGGCGCAAGGCTTGTACATTTTGCAGGAAGGGAATGATAAGAATGGCCACGAACTTGTTGGATGTGTTTTCTGGATGACGGGGTCATTTTTGAAGCTAATGTTTTTTCCTTTTTTTGTACGATGCCTATCTTGAAGGGAAATATTGCAAATATAATTCAGCGATGACTGCAGCATGACCCCCATCGTGACCTGACTCACTACCCCCAGATGCCGGTGAGCGGTTTTCAGAGATCAGTGTTAAAAGTATGCCAACTTTTTGTCCTCTGGCTTGCGAGATCAGATGTGTACGATTTGATCAGTGATACCTACCAGATTTCTCGAAAGCCTTCTGAATAGCTCATAACATCGATTTGAAGTAGCCACTCCTGTGAGAGAAATCTCACTGAACTTTGCTCACCACTTTGAACGTAATGCGCCTTGTCTTTTCCAATGTGTGTTCTGTAATGTTTGCAACACCAAGTTGTTAAAATGTTTGGATAATTGATGTTTCGAAACCTTAAAGGACTCCGTTTAGGCAAACATATGAGAGAACATGAAGCTGTTATTCCGCAAATTCAACGAAACGCTGTACTGTGACTTTTATTTCCTCCCTATGCGGTGTACCAAAGTGGCCCTCTCGGGGCGCATGCTTGTTGTGGCGAGGCTACTACAGTACGGGGTCGTGGGAATGGAAGTATCAAATGGTCCACAGTTACCTACTGCTTTAACTTCAACCAATGTAACCGCTTTCCGATAACAGGCCTTGCTACCCGCTGGGACAATCACAAACGGTCTTCCATTCGCACCAGTAGAGGTGCCATGGTGGTTGTTCTGACTACGGTTGTTGCGACTGGCGGAAAGAATTGCAGCGTTGTTATGAAGCGTTTAGGGCGAAATTTGGACTAGAAAATAACTAAAATTGATGCTCTTTTTATGTCTTGACTGCGCTGCAGTGGCTTTAGGCAGTTTTTTTTTTTAAAGACGTAACTGGTCCTGAGGTTTCATAAGAGTATGTTTTTAAAATCTGTAACATGGGCACGGGACTCCCTTCGCTGCTACCTGACCCGGCGTGTGACCTGACCCTACTCTGTCACTTAACGACACATTGTGACCAGATTCAAAACCGTGGTCTGACCCCACACCGTGACCTGACCCACACCGTGACCTCGTGCCTCACCGTGCCTTGAGCCCACACCGTGACCTGACCCACACCGTGACCTCGTGCCTCACCGTGCCTTGAGCCCACACCGTGACCTGACCCACACCGTGACCTCGTCCCTCACCGTGCCTTGAGCCCACACCGTGGGAGCCGCCACCACTCCCGCAGGCGCCTGTGAGCGGCTGTGGAAGGCCTGCCTCCCTGGCCCAGCCTGCGCGGCCGACTGCGTGCAGCGCCGCCTGCCGATCGTGACCTGGCTGCCGGCCTACCAGCCGCGTCAGGATCTGGTGGGCGACCTCATCGCCGGCTTCACCGTCGCAATCATGCACATCCCGCAAGGTGAACGATTGGTATTCCAAGTTTAAGTCGAGCTTCGTTAAATATGTCAGCGGTATTGGTATTGGTTAACTATAGACAAATCTCAAGATGCTGCCCAGTGCAAAGTCCGTACTCCAAAATACTGTCTGACACGTTTGAACCCAAGCTTTACGGTCCGCAGCACACCGTAGTGCCTACGTGTGACGAGCGATGAACTACTAGTACGCAGTACATGGCCAGTTTTTTAACGTTCCAAATCACAGTGTTGCATATAGCAATGCAGCCCATATATGTGCCCTTGTCAGGGCGTCTTTGCTTTTGGAGCATCTGTGCCAACAATAATGGGTTTTCCATGTATCAGGAGGTGCCGGGTAAACGACACTAGCAAAAAACATGGCTTATATTGTCGGCGGCATAACTAGCGCTTGATTGACAGGGTCGTTTAACGAGACCTCACGGTACGTTGAAGGCCGACAATTCTTAGTACAAGAACTCCGAACACATGGTTCCGAAAAATCAGGAGCTTAAGACTTGTGCTGCGTATTCAGGTATAACTTTACAATTCCCCTCGAATTCAATCTGATATATTTATGACTAATAATTATTTGATGGCATCTCTTGAAGATGATCAAAATCTTCGGAACGTACCTACGTACCGTCATGAAAGTACCTACGTACCGTCATGCAGCCACAAGCGGACCGTAAGCAACAGCTTGGTCCGCCAGGATCCGACCGGTGAAGTAGAAAACTTACCATGTGATGTGAGACACGTTCGGCCAGTGACTTTGTCAGCAGAGGCCGTTTAAAATTTCAGATGTTTGGACGCGTTCGTTCTTTTTTTGTCAAAGTGACTCAACGCAGGGGACAACCAGAGATCTCTGTCTCTCCCTCATAAACACTGTCTCAATCCTCGTCCGCTTGCACCGCGCGCGTTGCACTTCCCAGCCGGCAATACCGGATGCACAATGCATCATATCTTCCACAGGCATGGCGTACGCGCTGTTGGCCGGCGTACCGCCCATACACGGCATCTATATGGCGTTTTTCCAGTGCCTCTTGTACGTCGTGCTCGGAACATCGCGCCATTTGTCCGTCGGTGAGTCGCGTCATCGCCCGGAAAGTGCTGCCCGTCGCGGAGTGACCGTGGACGGAGCGGGGCTTGTGTCCGCGTGCCACTCTGTGTCGCTGTGGACACCTCCTCATGAGCAAGTATGTCCACTTGCGAATTCGTCCACACGTTAATCCGCCCATGCACATGTTGGGGGTGCATGGAAGAGTAAGCCGCGGGCTTATGAGATTTATAGTCTGTCCGGGAGCAAGGCTGTCTGAAAGGTCTGTCCGTTCATGGGTCTTTCTGTGGGTGACGGTGTCCTGCGGGTCAGCCCTAAGTGACGGAGTAAATCGGTCCGTGAATGAGTCTGTCTATCAGTGTCTGCCCGTATGTGTGTGTGTACGTGCGTGTGTATGTGTGTGTATGTGTGTATGTGTGTGCGCGTGTGCGTGCGTGTGCGTGCGTGCGTGTGGGGGTGGGGGTGTGCATGTATGCATGCATGCGTGCGTGTGTGCCTGCGTACGTGCGTGTGTGCGTGCTTGTGTGTCGTTGGTGGAGATTTGTCCGTCCATAAGTGTGTCCCTATTAAAATTGTCGTGTTTGTGTCCAGTTCGGTGCTTTGGAAATACCAAAAAGCAGGAATGATACTGCGATTAATATTGCGTCGTTCACAATGCATTTTCATGCCATGGTATTTTGGTGTAGCATGCAATGGCGTATCCTAGGTAAAAGTAATTGTAGCGTTTTCATGTCAAAAACACATACACACACAGGAGATGTTTTTGCAATGGACGTGCACACCTCGATGGATCGCATTCCCATGCATGGTCTGTGATGTGCCAGTGCGCGGCTGCGAATACGCACGTGTGCCGGCTCACCAGCGCGTCTGGCGTTTGAACGTGCGTCGCCCCGTCTTCCGCAGGCACGTTTGCCGTCACGTGCATCATGACTGGGAAGGTGGTACTGGAGTACTCGGCGCCGCAGCCGGGCGCGCCCGGCCGCCCCGAGCACGACCCGGTGACCGTGGCCACCACCGTCGCCCTCGCCGTCGGCCTGGTCCAGGTGCGCCACCCGCGCGCGGCCGGCGGCCGGACGAGCGCGGACCGTGTCTGCGCGGCTGGCGCTGCGGTCTGCAGAGCACTGCACGCACAACTGTCTGCAGAGTGCTGTGCACTGCGCGCGCCTGCACGGATCTAGGCTTAAATTGTGAGCAGGCTGCAGGCTGCAGGCTGCAGGCTGCAGGCTCTGAAGGACTACGTGAGGACGGAAGTGTGCTGCACGCTCCCATACATCCGGCGTCAGGACTGCAAGAAGTCAGGCGCCTTGTGTGACCACCGCTGTGCGTTTGCGATCACGGCATGATAGCAGAAACGCATTTCCTCGGATCCTGAACAATGTCTGACGCAGGAAATATTGAGAGGAATGTTGTAGCCATTTGATGTGTGAGTATTCACTGTTTCAAGACATTTCCGGAGCAGGTGAACGTTAGTGAAAACGGTATGAGTCGCGGGTGTTGATTGCTTACCTGAGAGATTATATGATGCGTTATCTATTTAGATGATGACCGTTTTAACAAAATTCCTTTTAGCTCGGCACGGCTCAGCTGCTCGGCAGTGGGCAGAGGTGCCCACCCGGGCGGCAGTGAGCGTGCGTGCGAGGCTGACACCCTCTGCGGTCCGTGCGGCAGCTGGCCATGTTCGTGCTGCGAATGGCGGCGCTGACAGTGGTGCTGTCCGACATGCTGGTGCGAGGCTTCACCACCGGCGCCGCCGTGCACGTGCTGTTCTCCCAGCTGCCATCGCTGTTTGGTCTGCACCTGCCCCGCTTCTCCGGCGCCGGCAAGCTGGCCAAGGTCAGCGCACGTGGCTCACCGCACCGTGGCGTGCGCGCTGGTGTTTCCGCAGGTGGGATCGGTCGCTCTGGTTAAGTAAACAGGGAAGGTGACAGCAGGACACAGTTGAGTATATGAGGATAAAGTAAGGTCTGTAATGGCGAGAGGCAGGTTACAAAAAGTCTTGCAGGCGAGCTCAACGTATTGAGGCGTGTCCTCGGTCGGTTATGACACGCCAGACCATGGGTCGGAAGACAAGCTGCTGAGCTGATATCGCTGTAGAATTATGTGACCTGCATTTAGTTGACATGCTGACGTGGTCGATAACAGACCATGCCCGCTGTGGCAATACGTGAGGGCATCAAGGCTCTCACCGGTATTCCTCAACATGTTGTTTCTCAGCTGTCCGTGGCCATCCTGAAGAATGTACATAGCGCCAATCCTGCCTCAACAGCGATATCAGCAGCCACCATTGTCATCCTTGTTTTGAACAACGAGTTGTTTAAGGTGAGTTTCAACTGAACACGCGTGTCATGTGATTTTGTCATGCTGGCGGCCACAGAAGTGATAGGATGTAATTCATGGGGTCGCAGCCCAACGCCTTTTTTGTCGGTTCATAAACGCTGTAACCCGAATAATAAATTGATTCGTTTCACCAGCCTGGCAGATATGTAGGAAAGGCTTGCTTCATCCACGGCTGTGTGTCTTCCTGCAGCCTCAGCTGGCCAAGAGGACGCGGTTTCCGGTACCTGTCGAGCTGCTTGTCGTCATTGTCGGCACGTCTGTCTCGTTCTTCTGCGATCTGGCCGGTCGCTTTGACGTCCAGGTCACCGGCAATGTGACGACTGGGTGAGCACAGCGCGGTTGAGACTGGGGCGGCGCGTGGGAAAAGCACGCCGAGATGAGCACACCGTGAAAGGTACAACTGTCACTGCGGCTAGTGTCGTTTGTGTCATTTTGTGTTGAAACGCAAAAATAGTCCAATCGACACAAAATGTAACGGGATCCAGACCTTACCGACTGTAGAGATGGATATACTCACGCCATGTGAGCGCGGCGTAGTAGCTCGAGTACTCCTGTCTCCACCACGGTGGCCATTTAGCATAAGATCAAAGCCTTTATATAACCTATAGCTCCACCAGCGGCCCGCTCGCCGCGTCCGTCCCGGCTCCAGAATGCCCCGTATCTTTTTGCTGCCAGTTTTGCTATGGTTGCAGCGGTGGGGTAGAGCTTGTGGATGTTGTACGGTAGCGATGTTGCATAAAACTCGGATGCTGAATATCCGATACATGTGTCTCACACTACTTATTACTAATTTTCAGCCTTGAGCAAAAAGTACATTGAAGCTCTCAGAGGTCAAGGTCCTAGACCAAACACAATTAAGGCATGACTTTTACAATGGCCGATACCTGTTGACAAGTTGGCTGCTTGCTGATCCTTGCATTCCTTTCCTGACATGTACAACGTAATGTAAATCTTCGAAAGAGGCTGCAGGTTGCAGCCATCTGCCCATGCTTGCCAGGCTTCTATTCCCTCTGGTAAGAGGCTTATCCGTGATAAACGATACATACATCACCGTGCTGGTTACCCGAATCATGGAATTTTGCCACTTAACAGTCATTAAACTCGGTCAGTTTGTCAGCTCGCAGACTATGGCAAGGCCTTCCTATTTATCATACAGCATATTGTTCTGCTCACGTGTAGACGTGGGCATCTTTACACAAGCCGCTCGACGCGTGGCGGGTCGTTACAGGCTGCCGCGTCCCAGCAGCCCGGCCATCTCGCTGCTGCCCAACGTGTTGCTGGACGCCGTCATCATCGCCATCATCACCTACTCGGTGGCGCTCTCCATGGCGCAGCTGCTGGCCAGGAAGCACGAGTACACTGTGGACGCCAGCCAGGAGCTGTTGGCCCAGGCGAGAACCAGGGAACGAAAGTTCGTGGTGGGGACCTGGTACCGCAGAGTCCAATGTGATTGGGGGATTCAAAATTCGGTAGGTTACGTAAAGACGCGAGACCTTAGTCTGCAGAGCGATGTAAAGAGTGACACTTGTTGGCCAGAGTCAGAACCAGGAAGCTGACACCGATAGCCATTGGCCAGCACCGAGGGGACGTTTTCCAAGCGAAGATCCAAGCAAGGCCTCTCAAAGGGAAGCCAGGGCTGCAACGTGGCCACAAAGTCATAAATTTTAAAACCGTGACCTTCCGGTGTTAAGGTATCAGAACTGCAAAACCGGGCTCAAGTGTCCTCGCTAATTCTGGCTTCTCAGCGTGCTGCAGTCGGTCTGAAGGAGTTGTACCCCTCCCCCAGGGCGTGGGCAACGCGGTGTCGGCGTGGTTCTCCTGCGCGCCGATGGGAGCCTCGCTCTCCCGCTCACTCATCGTGGACGCGACCGGCGGCCGCACGCAGGCGTCGGGACTCATCACCGCCCTGCTGCTGCTGTTCGTGCTCCTCTGGCTGGGGCCAGTCTTCCAGCTGCTGCCACGGGTGACCAGCGGCAGAGCGTGTCTGGAGTGGCGGCTGTAATGCTGCGCTGAGCAGTCGTATTTCGTTTGGTTAACCTATAGATACAGTTGAAGTGAGCATTTTAACAAGGACAAAGATTGTTTGGTGCCGTTTTCGGAGTTTTATCATTTTATATGTACACCAGGCAGTTGTGTTGGTGATAGCGTGCCCCCTTGGCTATCTTCGGTTCAGCACAGCCGTCAGTTCGGTTATCGTGTCGCGGCATTCCTCAACCTGACAGGACTTGCGAGCCTCGACGACGTTCGCTTCCCTGTCCGCAGTGTGTGCTGAGCGCCATCATCGTCGTCTCGCTCAAGGGGCTGCTATGTCAGCTGCGCGAGGCGCCCCAGCTCTGGCGAACCTCCCGCGCCGACACCCTCATCTGGGCGGCCACGCTGCTGGCCGTCGTGCTCGTCGACATTGACGTCGGTTTGGCTGTCGGCGTCGTCGTGTCTGTGGTGGTGCTGCTGTGGCGCCACCAGCGGCCGCCAGCCGAACTTCTCGGCCGCGTGCCCGGCACGGACCTCTACATGGATCGGAAGAAATACAGGGCCGTGAGTAAGGTCGGAGGAAGATGCTACGACTCATTCATAAAGCCCGGTAACGCTTGCGCGCGATGTGCCAAAATGCAAGATTTGAGCGGAAAGTTCACTTTTTACGGAGAGTGTGGAGCTCTCAGTCTCAGTGTCTTTTCGTAATTCAGCTTCCGTTGGTTGATGTATTTATTTTTTGCTGATTCTGCTCTATTTCGGGGCTTTTCCGAAAGCATTGCAGTATCAATGGCACCCTTGGTTCAGGCGATTCTGACACACTGCCCCGTACAAGTTCGTTTGGCAGTCGCCGGTGCTGCCGACCAAGGGTGGCAAAATGTCCCGACTTGGTAGGTGAAGTCGGCGGCAAAGTTTGTTGCCCGACGCTCGATGGCAAAAGATGTTTTGTGGTTATACTGACACTTGGTGTCCTTTAGTATCGCGTTACGCTGCTGTCAACAAATTTGTCAGTAGGAATTCGATCGGCAACAAAATGCACTTTTTATGCCCCTGTTGCGGACCAAGATGCCGGTCAGCCAGCAGCAACGGGTACGAAGCCTAGCCTTATACGATGTTGTATCTGACCATTCCGTTTTCTGGCTTCACCGGCGCCGTCACTAATTTCGCGGTCGCCGACGCCGCAGGCGCCGCCGGCAGGTGGGAGTAAGAGCACATGCCTGGAATTTGTAGGGACCAAGCTTCTATAGTCGGTGGTATGTGTGGGTGGGATTGGGGAGGGGTAGGGGTTAGGAGGTGGTGAATGACGAGTGAGTGGAACTTATCAGTTACTGTACTATCTACCTCCACCGAGCAACCGTGAAACCATTGCTGTGAGATCGCTGGATAAGATCTCAGAGTAAGAAAAGCTCCACGAGGTGTGCTCACCAGGCCCGGAACGTTCGTCCCGCCGGCGTTGTTCTTGTGCCTGTCCCGTGGGTGCAGTGGCGAGTTCGCCGAGTTCGTCCAAAGGCGAGAAGCAGATGTCGTGAGATTGAGACACATCGTGGAGTATGCTGAAGCTCCCAACAGGGGCAGACATTCTCACGCGATGATCAGCATCCCAACGGCTTCGCCTGCCGCAGACGGAGCTGGACCCCGACGTGCGGATTTTTCGGTTCGGGGGCGCGCTGCACTTCTGCAACGTGGGGTACTTCCGGTCGCGTCTGGCGGCGCTGACAGGGCTAGAGGAGGCCCGAAGGCGGCAGGCGGCCAGCCGAGAGGACTGCGAGTCGGCCGGCCGGCGGCGCCGAGCCGCCAACACCGCCGATGACATGGAGGTGCGCCGATCTCGTGCCACGCCCGGACCCAAGAACTTCGCGGTGATTCCGAATATTTGGCCTAGCGATGGAAGTCTGAAAGGCTGTTTGCTATAAAACCCACCGGTTTGCGTTGAGCCTGGTTGATGGATATTTCATTGACGCTTGTAGGGGTGGTGGAGCATGTTTGGTATCGTTCTAAAACAGCTTAGGCGTAACTAGTTGTCATATATTTAGAGAAGTTGCGCGTTTTCGTATGCTACACACTGCCTTCGTTTGTAAGAATCCCACGGTACTCTCAAGGACATGGTCATAGTTGCCAGCGCTTTTATTGACCTCTGGGCGCAGCTGACGCCGTGACACAATAACACCACCGTCGGACCCGGCGCTGTTGGCTGGTGGTGACTGCACCACAGCTGAGCCTTCACTGCTGCCGTCTTAACCCCATCTGCCCTCGCGTTGGCCTCTCTCTGGCTCACTGGCATCATGTCTCCCACTCCATTCAGCTGCTCGCTCCACTAACGGCCGAGGACAGTGACGGTGGCGGTCGGAGAGTGCCGGCAACACCGCGGCCCGCTGGCTTCTCGCCCGTGAGTGACCAGCGTGTATAACCCGATCACTGTATGCATTCCGAGGTGAACGGTAATCACTTGCGCCATGGGAAAACGATGGTAGAAGTAAACTCAGTGAAGGAATGATAGACATTCAGCTCCTGGTTTTCGGCATGTTGAGTTCACAGTTCTCATATTAAGTTATCGACCTTCGGTGTCCCAGGAGGTGCTGGCTAAACGATGTAAAAGAGCAAACAATGGTGATATTTTCAATACTCGCCATTTCAAACTTTGTTTATGATGACGACGTCTCTTGTAACGATAAACACCGTTTGGAGCGTCCAACATTGGCCTAATAACCAATGTTTTGCTCTGACGTCACTTGATCAGTATTGAAAGTCGATAACTCAATATAAGAACTCTGAACAAATAATGATGAAAAAACTGATGCATGCTAGCTTATCGTCAGATTATTCTTAGGATTGGGCTGGGGGAATTCAAGCACATCATTAGGCGACGATTTAGGGCAGCTGATCTTGCACATGCACATCGTGCTTGGACAAAGTATATAGCTGTAATGACATGCCATCGACCTGTCAACGGATCGTGCCCGTACTTGCTATTGTCACCTCGTACTTGCATAGCCACGAGACGCGTCTATTCTCAGAAACGCCCCTTGTGTGCGTAGGAAGTCATCATTTTGCATCTCGGATGTCCGTTAGCGTTCATCGGTGTTAAATGGCGCACTGAACAGCCTGGGCTTATGCCTACGTGGTCCCATGCTGATTGTTACAAGGACGGTTCAGCTCTTGGCCTTGGGCCGGATTCGAACCCAGTCCATGACTCGGTGTACGGTCGTTATGCAGCGCTCCCCCTAGGTTAAACTGCACAGTCCCCGTTGTTGTCCGTTTCCGGCGGCGCTGAGCCATGGATATGGCACTTGCGATTATCGAATGTTGACAATGTCCCGGAATACGCCTGAACTCTAAACGATGTTTTAGCCACGTGTACCAGTGGATTGCGTATGCACAGGCGTGCACCCTGTGTGTTGCGGTCCCTGAACCCCGCGTGCACCGTGTGTTGCGGTCCCTGAATCCCGCGTGCACCCTGTGTGTTGTGGTCCCTGAACCCCGCGTGCACCCTGTGTGTTGCGGTCCCTGAACCCCGCGTGCACCCTGTGTGGTTTTAACCACGCAGTCCGCAAGCTTCGGATATAGCGCTGAAGGTAACTACACTCTTCGGATCAGTTTCACCATGTCTTGTGCATGGTCCATCGTGCATTCGACACCCATATCAGTGAACCAGGAGCACTCATGTCATAAACCAGGTTTTCAACGCTCAGTAAATCAGGTCCGACGAGCTGCGCGCGCGGTAACTTTTCTACCCAGATGCACTGATTGGCGACTGCCGCCGCTGCTGCACTGCTCCCGCCGACGGTGTGCTCGCCCCGCCTCACCCGAGGCGGCCCTGTCGCAGTTCTCCCACCTGGTGCTGGACATGAGCGGCGTCAGCTTCACCGACTCGGCCTCGACGCGCGACCTGCTCGCCGTCGTCCGCGAGTGCCAGGCCCTGGGCATCTCCTGCCTCCTGGCCGGCTGTAACGGTGGGTGACGCCGCACCTCGACGCGCGCGTGCTGGGTGCCGAGCCCAGCCGCCGTGCTGAAACAACGCCAACGAGCCAGAGGCTTAAGCTCGCGGAACGGACATCTCCCAGTAGCGGAGTGTTAATTTGTCCTGGTTTTAAAGAGAGCTGGTGTGGCCTCTGGTACGCCTGCGACACTCCTTTCGCCGCCCTTGGCTGAGTCACCGGTACTCGCCGCTTGGTGTCGCCCTGAGCCGCCCTTGGCTGAGTCACCGGTACCCGCCGCTGGGTCTCGCCCTGAGCCGCCCTTGGCTGAGTCACCGGCACCCGCCGCTGGGTGTCGCCCTGAGCCGCTCTGGTCGTGCTTTTTTGTTAGAGGGGTACATGAATTGTCGGCAACGTAATGTATGCGCGAGATGTTAAGGTGACTCCCTATGTATGTGCGAGATGTTAAGTTAACCTCCGTCTTTCCTTTTTTAAGCTTTTAAAGTGGCAATCGAGCAATTCGCTATAGAATTGCAGGCTGCTTTCAAAACGTTAATTTCCCTTCATCATCCTGAACACCTTCCAGAAATAATGTCTTGATTTTTGGGGGGACGTGTCACGGGTTACCGAAGACAAATATCCCGCACATGATTTTGAGTCATACCTAAAGGGTATCCGCATATCCAGCCAACCAGCCGAATAGCGTGCTGTTTGGCTGGGATATGTTACAATTCATAGCACAATCATGCTCACCAAACGCGAGGAGGCGCCTGCTCGGTTACATTGGCTGAGTTAGATAACAGGTGAAAACAGCAGTATCTGCTGAACGGGATCATCAACAAATATAAATGAGATATCTGTGGACGGCGCGTATTTCATACCCAAGTGGCACAAAATTAAGGACGACAGGTGAAGACAGGCAGCAGTGGGAAAGGGGTGCACTTGGTTCATGTTTGCATTTAAGGTGAGTAAATGAATGACTGTTAAGCTCTAAACTGACTGATCTGTTAGCTGCTGAAGACTTGTTGGCTTGCGGATGAGTAAAGATCAAATGAAGTCTAGCTGGCGTGTGCCCCTAACTAGGCTTTTCCTGATCTCCATTCGTCCACCAGCCTGTAAATATTCAGCAGCAAACCGAGCAGTTTTTTCTGGGTTAAAGATGGCCAATCTACTTGCAAGTACATGACCGAAATCCGTGTGGCGATCTGAGAACCTCGTGCATCCCCATAGATTGCGGGGTATGCGTCGAACAAACAGTTTGACTTTCCTAATTTGCGTTGCGTGTGTTTGATGTACACCAATAGTCTATTGCAGAGACGTGCGGCATGGAGGCCATAAGCTGGTAGAGAGGCAAGATTTATGACTAGATCGATCAAAGCATGTGGTAACTCGTTGGAACCAACGGCTGTTTGGCGCTTCCCAGCGAACCCTTTTCTTTTCCCCGTGGCAGACGAGATAGCGCCCCATCTTGTGTCACCATGGCAATGCCGGAAATTCAGAAAACGAGCCTCTGATATCACTGGGTTCGTTTCTTCATGCACTGCCTCTCGGTACCGACATTTATCAAGGAGCCCATAGGTCGGGCTAACAGCTCTGCGCTATTCGGGATTCGGAATGGCACGTGGGGACTCTAGGTCACCCGACGTCGACACACAGGCATGAGCCACGCAGGGGAATGGCGAGGGTGACTGATCGGCGGACGGGCTGATAGAATCGATCGGACACCATGTATACGGCTGCACGCCAGTTATGACACCTGCCATGCTTGTTATTTCTTATCGGTGATTGGAATATAACCATAGCACGAACGGATCAATATAACCTGATTGGGCCCCACCTTTTTCCAAGCCCCCTCCACCTCCTAATGTCACGGGCCGCAACTGGCTGGTGCTCCATGAAGGACCCCTCACCTCCTTTGGTGCGGAGATGTCAAGGTGCCCTCCACGGTGCCCTCGTGGCATCTCCCATGGTAGGTGCCAGGTACGTGCCCTAAGTACACGAGTAATGTGTGTGCACGTACAAGATGAATGGAAAATGTCGAATGGTACAAGTCAAATGGAAAAATCAGATGAAAAAGTTGACTGAAAAAGCCAGCTGGAAAAATGGAATGGAAAAGTCCAACGAGAGAGGAAGCAAGGAGTCGACAAGGTTTCGACAGGAATGAGAACTGACTGAGAAAAAGTCGAATACGAAAAAGGTTCAAGACAAAAAGTTATGAAAGCTGACCAGGATAGAAGCATAAAGAGCATCCAAATGAAAAAGCATAAAAGCCGTCCGGGGTAAAGGTCGAATTGGAAAATGTTGAGTTGAGAACGTATAATCACTAAAAGTGGACAAGGATTTAAATCGACAAGGGTGAGTGTGGGGGTGTGTCTGTGGACCGTTGGGGTGGTGGTGCGGTGCGATGGGGCGGGGTTTCCTGGCCGCCGCTGGATGTCGCACGCCGCCGGTTGCCGCTGTCACATCCACCCACGAGAGCAAATTTATAATGAGGAGCCCATTGGTCAGCGTACGAGCTCCATGATGTTAGCGCACGGCTCGACACGTTGTGGCTCCGGTACACCCGACGTCAACACACACTCATGTGAGCCACAGAGCTAGGATGAAGCGGGTGACCGGGGCATTGGCGGGATGGCGGATCCGGTCAGGCACCATGAACGGCTGTCTCCCCGCCCATGGCTGTGCGCCCTTGACCACGGTATCCACCTCCACCCTTTAGCTAGCGATATCATTTAAATGGGGCAAAAACGGGAATGCGTGCATACTAACGCGCCTAACCGGCAATGGTCCCCCGCACTGGCGAGCTATATTGACAAGGGCCCACTGGGTAATGACCATGGGATCCCCCCCCCCCCCGCCTTAATTAATCCACGCAGACTCCACGCACTCGGCGCCCATCACACTCATTCCAAGCATTCGCATACGCTGGCGCCCACACCATCTCGTTCTTCCTTGGCACGCACACGGGTGGGACCCCCCCCCCCTTTTTCCCCGCACCTTGACATTATAATTGGCCGTCTGCATGGGTCCTCGTTAAGTTTAATTCACTTATCACATTTCGGTCTTGCCATAAATGCACGTTTAAGCCCCATTCAAAACATATCACGATGATTTGCCAGCTTGACACCGACGCAGCTGCTGGGCCGACCACGAGTGTCAAAGCTGAACGGCGACTCGCTCCCTCGCCTGACCTCCAGGGTGACGGCTCCCTATTTGGACGACGCTTCCCACGTTCCGTCCACGATGGGCGGCTCCGCACTCACACGGCCGCACCCACCGCTCGCAGCTTTCCGCTGCCGCGCATGCGCCTTAGACGGCGCCTCGTCCAGCACGGAGGCGTCGCTTCCGGCGCTTCTGCGCCCTCGCCTCCCGTCCGCCGGAGCAGGCTTTGCAAGGCACCGCCCATAGCGCGTCCCTCAGAGGCCTGGAGGCAGACAGCGCGCTCATGGGACGGTGGGGCCTCTCGGCAGACGACGAGCGCCCGGTGCGACCCGCGTTCACGCCTTACGGTCTCCCCGGCCGGCACGCTCTGGAGACTCGGCCTGACCGGCCTGTCTGACGACCTGACTCCTCGTCGCCTTCCCTATGAGCGTCGATGACGGGATCTCTATCCGTCCCGAACATCCCATCACCAATCGCTCATAAGGCCCGGCGTGCACCACGTCGGAAGAGAGCGGACTGACTCCTGCCCTCTCCCAAGGCGGAGACACCACGGATAGACTCCGCTACCGCCCTGCACGATCGAGCATCCCAGGCGGCCCCCACGGATCCAAGGTCACTTCATGACCAACGCCTCCTTAGGCCGTCACGCCTGGGGTCAAGTGGGGAACGACAAAACGAGTCGGCCGTCTCAAAAAAAAAAAAACAAGAAAAAAAACGAAACTGTCTTGTGCCGCGCTACCCACAAACGTCTTTCTGCGTAAAAGCAGGACTGCGGTCGTCTGGCTCCTCGTCCTCGTCACAGCCGCGCCGGGCTACCCACCTGCTGACGGGCCACGAGCGGTGGACTGCTCCGTCCACCCACACCGCGGCAGACAGTCATCTGCCGGCCGGTTGCGGGTGCCCGCGCCGCCATCGCGCACCGTCGGGTGCTGCCCTCTACCGCAATTGCCCATAGCGACTGACAGATGGCGTCCGTGTCACCTCCCGAACGCCGGCCCGGGCGACGCCCCGCGAGTAACCTCCGGTCTCGCGGAACTGCGGGAAATCCTTCGAGATGCCGCGGGCCCGGCACACCTCACCGCTATGCCTTAACATCCCGGCGCAGGCGGTCTCTCTCTCCGACCTCTAGCCTACATACCGGGGTTACATCCGGTTCGGCGAATTCGACGCCATTCTCCCCATACCGAACCCCCGGCGTCCGTGTCGGATCCATCTCGGACGAGATGGGTATTCGCTAACGAAACAGTAGCGCGGGGCATCAATTGGCCAGAGAGCAACCCAGACCTAGTGAAAGGCAGAGGGAGATAGAAGCCGGGCAATACACGCGCTCGCTGGGGGAATCCGCGCAGCATGCGCGGAGCTAGACCGCGCTAACCTCTTACGCGAGAAAGGCCGAGCATGCGCGCTGGATCGAACCCGTGAGGTTCCAGCTTATTGCCTCTAACTATTGACACTAAACCGGCTTTTAACTATTGACAAAGAAAACGAAACGAGAAATGTACGGCGAACGGTCCACCTAACCCACACCCTGCCGCCGTAGCATGTCGGCGCGGCCCGTACATCGCGTCCGGCCGCGACGATGGCCAGACGAGGGCCCAGACAAGCCGATGCGCCTTTGCATGGCTTCCGCCATTGGTAAACTCCGGACGCCTACGGGGCATGCCAACGAACTGGCCGCTGCGCCCAAGCATGCGTCCCGGGCTCCGGACACGACCCCGCCCAACGCCGGGCCGCGTGTCCTCCCGCCGCCCGAACCGACCTCGTCCAGCCTCGCTCCCTCACTAAACCATCGCTACGCAATCCAATACCTGTATTTATACGCAAAGACAACGAAGCAAAACATCACCCATAGACCGCGACATACACACCTACCACACTAACACCCCAGAGCCCCTTCCCCTCACCCCGGCTCTGCGGCGACCGCGGCTTACGCCGCCCGGTGGGAAGCGGGGCGGAAGGGCACACTCGGGGCGCCAGCCGTCCATGGCCCGGTAAGATGGAATGAGGGGGGGGGGGGTCAACGGTCTGGGCACTCACATCGTGTGCGCCGTCGTCGGTGACTGTTGCCCGCCGCGTCGAACGTCGCAACTCTTGGTCCGTACTCCTCGCACTCTGTACTGCCTGGTCCGTCTCTCCTTTTCACGAGGCCCTCGCATGATAATTTATAAGATTCCGATGCCTTTCAACCGGGTCGACCCGCCCCCGTCGCCCTGCGTGACCCAATCGGTTTGCCGCCTCGCCTCCTCCGTCCAATCCGTCGCCGGGCCGGCATGCTCCGCTGCCAGAGTCCGTCCCTCGACGTGCCCCTAGGCCAGATCTCGGGCGTGGTGTCGCTGGCGACGACGCAAGGCCAGCCCGCTCTCGCCTCGGGCGGGCCCTGCGCGTCCCCCACTGGCCCAGTTCCCACGTGGCGCGGCTCTCGAAACGGCATCTGGGGCGACGGCGGCGCCTGCGCGGCGGGGGTTCTTGGGGTGGTTCGGGGGGAGTGTGATGGAGGGGAGCGGGGAAGCCCTTGACCACGGCCGGCTGGTTCGCGTTCCCACGCTCTGTGCGCGGAACCCCTCCGGTCCCGGGCGGGTGGCGCGCAGAACAACGAGACATGAAAATGTACGCCTACATGAGTCAAAATAGAAAATTCGGAATACACAATGCCGAGGACAACGGTGCGGTTTCTTATTAAGGGGGGGGGGGGGGTGACAAAGGGCAGGAAACCCTTCCCGATTTTGAAAAGAATGAGGGTCGAACTCGAGGAGAAATCCATTTACTGGTATTTTGGCGGTAGGCTGCTTTGTTTTCCCCTGCTAAGCCCATTCCTCTACCTCCACCTTCCCAAACTCATTTTACGAAACTATGCCCCTGCCTGAATAATCGGAAGCTAATTAAGGCCTTTCTCGCTGATATCAAGCACTACAGTTATGTGTCGGGAACGGGTCCACACAGTGTGGGCTTTTAGGACTTCATAATGTGCACAAAGATCACTGCCATCACAGACCCACAACAGATAGACGTCGTCCGCTGTCCTGTGGCCGTGCCGCGTACCCGCTCCCCTCTCTCTCCAACGCAGAACACCCGAGATACCAGGGTCACCCGCCACTGCACAGCCGGCGATGGTGTAGATATATTTATTTTGGCGTCATATTTAGGCCCTTAGGCAGCAGCTTTCCCCGAGGGCTACCTTAAATTTGTCTGGTGGCATCCAGTCCCTTCCGATACCATTATGCTCCGTCCAGTCCCGTCTGATCCCGTCCAGTCCCGTCTGATCTCGTCCAGTCCTGTCCGATCCCGTCCAGTCCCGTCTGATCTCGTCCAGTCCCGTCTGATCTCGTCCAGTCCTGTCCGATCCCGTCCAGTCCCGTCTGATCTCGTCCAGTCCCGTCTGACCTCGTCCTGTTCCGTCTGACCTCGTCCTGCTCCGTCTGGCTCCGTCTGGTTCCGTCTAGTCCGGTCTGGTCCCGTTCTGCCCGTCCGGCTTCTTTCCACCGCGTCCGGTGACGTCCGATGCTATTTGATCGTGTCCGACACGATCAGATAACATCTTGGTACGCAGTCCCGTCTGGTGTCGTCAGATTCGGTCCGGTTCTGTCGCATCTGGTCCCTTCTCGTCCGGTTCCATCCGATTCATTCCTATCTAACGTACCCGTCTGGCCCCTTCTGGTATGGTCTGGTCCCATCCACTCACGTCCCGTCCCATCTAGACCCATATAGTTCCATCCAGTCCACCTGTCTCTGTCCGTGGCCATAGCTTCATCCACTTCCCATACTAGGCGCCAAATTCTGATGACTTTTCTGTCCTAAATTATTTGGATTATTAGTGCTTCTTTACATCCAATTTGGCCTTCATCACTGTCGGTGCCATATAACGATACAAAAAATGCATATCAAGACTTGCACATAAGTATTTTGACATTCCTTATTCCTGCCAAGTTGTTGTCCTAGGCTTTTCTCCTATTCAACTTTTACCCCTCTCTTCTTTTTCCCCTTTCGTTTTTTTCTGATTCGACTTCTATCCCTGTCGACTTCTATCGACTTCTATCCCTGTCGACTTCTATCCCTGTCGACTTCTATCCCTGTCGACTTCTATTCTGTCCCTGACTTCTATCCTTGTCCCTTTCCTGTGGCCGATTTTTTTTTTGATTGATTTTTTCGGCTTCTTTCTTCTCGCTTTTTACCGTTTGGCTTTTTTCCATTAAACTTTTATCCTGGTCTACTTTTATCCATTTCTTCTTTACACCGTTCGACTTTTTTCAGTCTACTTTTTCCATTCGACTGTTTCCCACTCGACTTTTTGTCCGGGAAACGCGATGGGCGCTCTGTCGTCTTCATTATTCCGACGTATAAGCAATAAAATCGAGACGTCCATATGAGCCCTCCAACCAACAAACGCAAGGTGGCGTGGAAGTTTGAAAATTGTCTGGGTGTGATAAAATCCGAGTATCGAGACCAAACGAATACGTTATCTGTTCCATTCGCCACCGTCACTGAATGCACATGCCAGTTATATCTTCAACATGGGTCCAACGTCTTGTGTTTTTCAGAGACCGTGCTACGCATGCTCCATGCCTGCCGGAGTCCGCTTCAAGAAGACCAGCTGTATCCCAGCGTTCACGATGCTGTCGTGGCCATTCGCTCGTCCCACGTCAGCGGTGACGCCCAATGGCTGAGCGATTCCGCCAGCTAGCTCCACCGTCTACATCCATGTGGGCAATAAGATGCCACAATCCAGACTGAAGTCGTCCCAACGAATCTCTAGTCTACATGTCAATGCGCTGAAGTCCAGCGCAACAAACTAAGCGTAGCAGTTCAGCGGTAAAACTGCAGTTGCAATCAAGCCGTCAAACCGTAGCGACTGTGGGGTCACGGAGTGGACCAGAGTAGACAGACCAGACCAGACCAGACCAGACCAGACCACGGAGTTCACCGTGGGATACGACGAGTTAACAGTCGTGGTTTGGTCGCAATCAACGCCAGACCTGCTGCCGATGTGCCATTTTGGTACAATTGTACCTATTGGGTACGCAATCCCAGTTCTATGACGGCTGCCTGGTTAGCGGATATCAATAAGGCATGTGTGTGCTCCACAGACTTTCAAGCAAGTCATATAAAAATGTTGTTGAAGACTGGCGAGGGGCTGCGGCAATGTGGTGTGGCTTAGTCAAGAGGGAAGTCTTTCAGCATAATGCATGTATTCGTAAATCAGTTTTAACTTGAGTCCTCAGAGGGTTTTGCGCCCGCTGTCAAACCTTCTGCAGGATTTTTTTTTTTGCAAGTCACTGCTAAGGTGGTAGTGACAGGTAATGTGGAAAGTGTGCGTCAATGCTATTTTGATAATGATATAGTGGTTGTGGATTTGTCCTGCACGATAGTATCAACGGAGTAAATTACAGAAACCCAGTGTTATGTCAACCCTAGGAAGGATGTTATGTCCGCCGCCATATCCTCTGTAGAACGTTACTTTTCTGGGGTGCTGTGAAATAATGATAATTGAAGGTGATACGGAAAGGAGTTTGCAGGGAAATAATAATAATGCAAGGTGGTGCGCACGAGGGTTTGTATGCAACTTTGTTTTTCATGAAAGGTATCGGATGTGTCCCACATGACCGTGTCAATACAGCAAATGACCGTGGGTGGAATAGCTGATTCTTAAACTCTATAACTCTCTGGACATTCTTAGAAGGGCGTACATGCACTGTACATTTGGCGACAACAGAGCCGAGTAAACCTGTGCCCCAGCCATGCATAAACAGTTTGTGCAGTTTGTGTTTTGTACAGTTCGAATAACGTGCGTCTTCCAAGACGTCCGCGAGAGGCGCCGGGAGCGCGGAATAGCTTTGCGTGTCGCAGCCGTGCGTGTGTGGCAGTCGCACGTGCCTCGGTAGACCTCCGAATTTCGAGTGCTCTCAGATTGTCAGAAAAAAAATCATATTTTTCGAAGTCAGGAATGCCAAGCGCCACAAAGCATCTATTTTCTTGGCGAATTGAAAATATATCCACGGCTTATCAATCTACGTCCTTTAATTCATATGTCTAATGCTATATGGAATGGCAATGAATGCTATACATACATAAATACATACATACAAGAATATATATGCACATATATATATATATATATATATATATATATATATATATATATATATATATATATATATATATATATATATATATATATATATATATATATATATATATTCACATAGGAAAATGCTGTTAAAAAGTTACTCGTGTTCAGCTCTGGACAGCCTCCAGTGTAGTTCTTTTTAATATTTCGTACGTTGTGTTTAGCATTGTCTATTTGGTTCAAAGGTAATTCGCCAAGACACATGCGTCCCACTCACGTACGTTCTTCGTTATTTATCCTTTTGGATGCACCGTTGTCCATTTTCAAAAGCAAGACACAGCTATTCAGTTCGTGTCGGTAATTGGCAAACTTGAAATCGTAACATTTAACACAAGCATGCGAACTACAATATGCTTCTCACTGACTAATGTTCGTTACGAAAATGCCTTGGTACAGATCATGCTACAGCCATGCGGCATCGGTACTGATCATGCTACAGGCTTAAGCATGCTCAGTTTGGAATTGGTACTGAGCTTGCTATAGCTATATGGAACCATTATTTACACCACACGCGGCGATGCCTGGACCACGTGTTATGACCGCGGTGTCAGCCACTCGGCCTCACACCCTCACGTCCTCCAAGCTAGGCACAAACGATTAGGTGTAATGTACTGATATGTACAGATAGGAACAGATGTAATAAGACTCATGCTCAGGTGTGGCTGGAACTTATATCTGCGAACGTTATTGACAGTTTGTGTTGTGCTGCTACCACAGACGTCGGCGCTGAGCCATCAGTTTGATAATATGCTGCATCAGCAGCGCACTAATGTTTACGCGTTTTGTCCTGTGTGAAATTAATACCAAAATATCGTGCCGCGATCGCTGTGCCTGTGGTCGCAGCGTGGGTGGATCGTATACGACATTAGTGCCAGCCCACGCGTGGACATCTGTGTTGCTCTTTGTCTGGCCGCATTCATATTCCGACTGGTGGCTCGGTGCGAGCCGTGGCGGCATCGTATCAGGCGCTGGACCTCGCCGCGCCGGTACAGTACCAGACGCCAGCATTCGCTACGCCGGTACGGCACCAGGCGTCGGCCCTCGCCGCGCCGGTACCGCACCAGACGCCAGCCTTCGCTACGCCGGTACCGCACCAGGCGTCGGCCCTCGTCGCGCCTGTACCGCACCAGGCGCCGGCTCTCACCGCGCCGGTACAGTACCAGACGCCGGCCCTCGCCGCACCGGTACCGCACCAGACGCCAGCCTTCGCTACGCCGGTACCGCACCAGGCGTCGGCCCTCGCCGCGCCTGTACCGCACCAGACGCCAGCATTCGCTACGCCGGTACCGCACCAGGCGTCGGCCCTCGCCGCGCCGGTGCGGCACCAGACACCGGCCTTCGACGCACCGGTACAGTACCAGACGCTGGCCCTCGCCGCACCTGTACCGTACCAGACGCCGGCCTTCGCCGCGCCGGCACGGCACCAGGCGCCGGCCCTCGTCGCGCCTGTACCGCACCAGGCGTCGACCCTCGCCGCGCCTGTACCGCACCAGGCGCCGGCCCTCGTCGCGCCTGTACCGCACCAGGCGTCGACCCTCGCCGCGCCTGTACCGCACCAGGCGTCGACCCTCGCCGCGCCGGAGCAGGATGAGCGCGCGGCCCAGCCAGGTTTACCCCGATCACCGCGAATGAAACCGACTGGCTGGGAGGCGGAGCCACGGGATTTCATATTTAAAACGACGTTGTAGGTCGGGTATGGCGGCCTGCCCCCTCCCCCTTCCGCACCGGACCTTACACTGTGTGGGCTACGCGTACGCCGCGGAAAATTCTTGGCCTTCGGATGCCTTGATTCAAACGAATACCCTGACTTTAAAGGGGGAATGCCACATTTCGTTTTGCTTTTCACCTATTGTCGAATCACACACGTACGATTTGATCACTAATACCAGTTTTCCAGAAGTCTTTCAGCATAGCTCAGAATTTCGATCTTGAGCAGCCGCCTCTGGAAGCGAAATCTCGTCGGACTCGCTGCTCACCACTATTAAAGTGGCACATTTCATTTGCAGTGTTTTTTCCACATGTGTGTTCTGTAATATTTACTAAAAACCGATTTGTCAAAATGTTTGTGTAATAAATGCTACGAAAGCTTGAAATGCTTTGTTTGGGCCAAAACGCATGCGAACATGAAGCCATTATCCTGCGAATTCTATGGAACGTTATACTTTTGTCTTTAATTTCTCCCCTATGGCGCAATCATAGGGGAGAGTCATAGGCGTAGGAACGTTTCAAAAAGTGTGTGTGTGTGTGTGTGTGTGTGTGTGTGTGTGTGTGTGTGTGTGTGTGTGTGTGTGTGTGTGTGTGTGTGTGTGTGTGTGTGTGTGTGTGTGTGTGTGTGTGTTTGTGTGTGTATGTGTGTGTGTTGGGGGGGGGGGGGAGAACAGGCTCATGGTATCATTTGGGGCTTAAGTCTCCCATTCGGCCCTTCATCTTCGGTCCCGAGGGGCTCTTCGGGCCGCTGTTCAGGCCGCTCTTCGGGCCCGCCTTAGTCACGGCTCTTGGCGTCTGGTGGCATTTCGTCGACACAGGACCCCCCCCCCCCCCCCCCCGTTAGGCACTGGTGGCCCTTGACCGAAGTCCTCGTTCTTTTAGGGACCCCGATCAATGGAAATCGCGGGCTGGCCTTACTAGTGCTTGGGAAATGAGCCCCAGGCCCCAGACCGGCAGGGAGCCGACTTTTCCGTCTTGTGGTCTGGCCGAAATAGAGGCCCGCGCCGTCCCACGAGGTCCGAGTCACCTACTGATGCAAGAGGCCCTCTGACTGACCGAAGTCACAGCCGTACTGGCACGGACCGTCTTTATTGTGACCTACAACCAGTCTCCCGGGACCTCTGGTCCTTTCAGCCCTCCAATCGGGCCCCTGATCTCGGGTCCTGAGGGACCTTTCGGCCCCTCTTCGGCTCTCCTCAAACAAAGCCCGTGACGAACTCGGAACCACTTGTCGACACACGACCCTCTACTTGGCGCCTCTGACTGAAACAGGGGGCCTGATCAGTGCTTCAGGGACCCAAACCAGTGCAAATCGTAGGCCCCGACCTTGTTCCTGTTTGGTAAAGGGGCCCCCAAGGTGCAGACCGACACGGAGCCAACTGTTTGGCGTTGGTGGTCTCTGGCCCACATATATGCCCGCACGGTTTCAGGGGCTCTCAGTCGTTGCGAGATGCCCTCAGACTGATATTTCTAGTGACGGCCCCGCGGTCAGGTCAGGTCAGGTCACAGACTGGGATCCTTCAAAGGACCCAGAGGCCCTTATGTCCTCCAACCGGGATCATGGTCGTCGGTTTCGGTAGGCCCCCGGACCGCTCCTCGGGTCTCACTGAATGCTGCCCTTGGTGGACTCCGGGCCCCTCGCCATCACAGCCCCGACCAGCGTACATCACTGGCCCGGCTTTGTCGCTGCTTGGGAAGCGGGCCTTCAGGTCCATACGGAGCTAACTGTGCGGTACCAGTGGTGCGTGACCGCCATATAGGCCCTTACCGACTCAGGAAGTCCCCGATCAGCGCATAGTGCCCTCTGGCTGGCCTCTGGGGCCCGCTCCACAAGCCGGGGCCCCTGAAGAAGACTCCCGCCCAGCCGTTTGCGCCCTTAGGCTCTCCAATTGTGTCCTTAATCATCGGTGTCGGTGGGCCCTCTAGGCCCTCTTTGGGTCTCCTCGAACACTACTTCTGGCCGACTCACGGTCGCTTGCCAACACAGAACCCCTGTTACGCACTGTGCGCCCATGACAGAGGCTGGGACCTCAACCTATGTAAATTGTCGTACCTGACTTTGTGCCTGCTGGGAAATAGGTCAACCGGTCCATGTCGACACATCGCCGACGGTGCGTTGCTGATGGTGCCTGACCCACACATAGACCCTTGTCGACTCACGGGGCGCCGGATCGGCGCAAAAGGCCCTGTGGCTAGCATTGGAGTGTTGGGCCCTGCGGATCAGGGCCTCTAAATACGATCTTTGGTTGGCCTCTCGGGCCCTCAAACTGGGCCCTTAATCGTCGATCCCGAAGGGCCCTTGGGGCCCTCGGAACCTAACAGGGGCACGCGCCCACTGCCTTTTACCCCCTGCCTGCGCCACTGCCTGGGCAGCGCATTCCAGCAATGGTAGGCCCAGGCTGCGTCCCCCTCCCCCAGGGTGTCACACCCCGTCCCCAGCAGGCAGCTGCAGACCCGGGCGCAGTGGGCAGCACCAAACCCAACCCCCTGGCCTTAATACCCCCCAACCCCATTTGCTCCCACTTGCCGCGTTCCCCATCACCAATAGCTGTTCACGAGTTGCAGCCTGTGACGTCAGAGGTAGGTGCGTCACAACAGTTCCTACAGCCTGGAGGATAGCCGCCTACGTATAACGTAGATACTTGCAACGTAGTAAATGGCAACTCAAGCAGGTGCTTTATCAATGGGAAGAGCAGCCCTTGCGGCCTTGGACGTTACGTGACTACCAGCGACAGTTTTCCACTGACGTCACTTTGCGATCGCTTCTAGCAAAATGGACAGATGACCAGTCCGGCGCACGGGATAAAGTGTGTTGTTCGTGGTCGACCGTGGGAGAGGTTGTTGTGTAACGTGCTTGGCGGCTGCAGGTATTTGGGGGAAAGAATGCTGGTTATGTGTGAGGTGCCACGAGACGAATCGGTTTAACATATTTGGCACACTTTCTATAAAAAAGATATTCAGCTGCATGTAAACATCAGGCACTTCACGAGCGTGCCTGCCCTTCCCCATGTTGATCTGGTGACTGGTCCTCACAACGTTTGTTTACGTCCGCAATGCGTTTTCTGGAATGACGCATGACGTGATGGGACAATGTTGTTTTGAACACAATGCTTAACCTGTGTGTTTTGACCACGTTTTATGCCCATGGCTGTGATGCAGCTCAAGTATAGCTATTTGATGACACAAAGTAGAAATGGAGATTGCTTATCATCAAAATTGAGGTCATGGTCAATTGATTTGCATACATTTGGAGCCAACTAGATTGTATAAGTTTATCATTACTGCATCCTCAAGCCTGTTACATTTTTGACCAGACACAATGAGCTGTGATATTCTACACATGCTGCAAAACACAACTGAAATAACATTGTAGGTTAGGCAGTGTGTGTTATGCATCCAGTACATCATTTGACTTGATGTCTTGCTGACATGTTCAGAAAGTACCATCACTGTTTTTCTTCTAAAAAGATTACCTTAGGAGCTGACTCTGATCTACAAATATTGCACATGAGCACTGTTGTGTACTTCACAAGTACCTGGCAGCACTGTCATGAAAGTCAAGATCACAAGACGGCCAAACCAAAATATCAGAAATTAGTGTTCACAGTAAACTTGCATTTTGCTGAATGTTTGGCAATGTTTGCACCTTTGCTGTCCCCATGATATTGGAAAGATGCATAAACCACAAAAAAGAAAAGATAAGCATGCAGTGCAGCATGTTCAAACTGCCTCAACCAAAGGCCTGGCCACTGATGCTGTGTTTGGGCCACAGGTGGCATAGCCTTATTCAAAATATCAAGCATTGACAGCATGAATAATTTATCTGTTTGCAAATCTGAGACATTTTACAACATACATGTGATGTGTGATGTGATGTGTAACCATGAGGTCATTGATGTTCTATTCTGTTAGTCATTTTGTGATGCAGCATCTCAGGATACCCCAGCAATGACCTTGTTATACTGATGTCTTTCAGGGACTGAATCATGGAATCAGTGAAAAGCTTCTTTTGGAGATGGAACCCATTTTCAAAGTCACACTGCAAGGAAACAAAAAGTGAAGTCCATAGCACAGAAGATCCAGTTGCTGCTACAATTTCAACAGCTGAATCTTCCTTGGTCAGCCTGCAGAAGATTGCAGTGTGGGAGAGTCCCATCAACAGTATGCTGGCTGTCATTGGGCTCAATGCAGTCTGCTGGTGAGTTCTTTGCAACCACTTTTGGGATGGCAGGATGCATGCACAAGAAATGGGACAGAGTGGGTGCTGGGAGTTGGTTTGTGGCTCATGCACACCTGATGGGAAGAATGTTTGCTGCATGATAATGTACAGAATGACTTGACTTCAAAGGGGTTTAGCTCATCCTTGTTTTGTGGCATTCCTTTGCTTGTGGGGGCACATGGTGCTAATGCATTTTCAGCTAATTGCAATTTAGATGGTGTCCAAGGGGGAAATTTTGTGTTACATTCTTATAGGCCTGCTAGTTTAGATGGGAAATGTTAAAGAAAACTTCAAAGTATCAGAAGATACAACAAATATTTAGTGTGAAAGGTAACAACTGGTATGCTCATGTGGCATAAAAACAAACCAGATTTTCCACCATTCTTCCATGTGTACTCATGCATGGCCAGATATGCTACAGGGCCATGCAATTTCATGTGGATGCATGCACAAAAATGCATGCACTTATCACTAAACCACTCAGCCTCCTGTTTGCTACCTTTTCCGTAAAATGTTGCATGTTGTTACCGTCCATGCATGTGCCATCTTGCAAATTCCAAACATTGTTGATCCCACATGCCCATTACCTTTTTGACACACAAATCTCAATGTCAACTTGTCTGAGCCCACTGATGTGTGAGAAGCTGTTGTCTGCTGCAGTGTCACAACTGACTTCGTGTCCGCCCCATCCAGGCTAATATCGACATACCAGCTGCGCGTGGTGTTTGTGGTGGCGGCCGTCGCCCTGCTGCGCCTGCTGCGCACCGAGTGGCGCGAGCGCATCTGGCCCGAGATCCGCGTGCCGCCGCCCGTGGCCGAGGACCCGGAGCCGTGGACGGACGTGGGCGTCAGGTGCGGGCCGCGCCGCGGGCTCAGCCGGCCTGGTAGCAGGCTCCCGGCCTGATCTGCCGCTGGTCGCTGCCTGCCTGGTGCGCCCAGTTCGGAGAGAGTCATGGCTGTCCCCGATCTTCTCCGCCGGCGCTCTTGCAGCGGTGGGCTTCGGCAGCGCGCCGAAGCTAACCACATGACTTCAGCCGCGGCCGGCCCTCACATCTGAACCCCAGCCAAGCCCCTCTCAGTAGCGCCAGCGCGTGCGTTTAGCCCCCTCTCCTGCCCCGCGTGGCGTTGCTATCTGCGGGGAGAGCGGGCAGGTACGGTCCGTTTATAGTGATTCGAACACAGACGGCTCCGCCATGACGAGCATGGGGCGATGCTCTGAGGAGTGGTGGTGTATTAGTGCACCACAGTCCCCGATCTGTCATTGGAACTGCTGGCCAGACTCTGAGTGTCCCAGGCTGTCCCACGTGCCATGGCGTGTTTGTCTGTTGTCGCGCCGCGTCGCCCCGCCCGCCCCGCGCCGCCGCACACTAATAGTGCGCCACCTGCCCCGCCGGACAGCGTGCTGAGCGCGCCGGAGATGATCGAGTACGTGCGCCGACTGCGCGCCGCGTCCGCCTCACTTCGCGCCAGTCTCGCCGAGATGCGGGCCTCCACACCCTTCATGGTGAGCAGCGCCGCTGAGCCCCGAGGAGTGGGGCAGTGGGTCGTGGTGACGTTACTGGCGGGTTTACTGCGTCGCTTCTAAGGCGGCGGCGCTAGGTCTCCTCGTGGTCTGCAGTTGCCTCTCACACTCGGCGTCGTTTCGTGACCTGTATGTCGGCGCCTTGGGTGTGTTCCACCGAGGACAGCTGGTAAACTACAGATACATGGGAGGTGGTTCGGTTCTGCGCGACGCTGATCGATCACGCGCACGCCCGTCTGATGACCATCGGCGCACCCTGCGCTCGTGTACGCGCCGACGTTGTCGTTGAGTGGCGCGCGCTGCCACTGCCGCAGTTCTTCCTGCTTGTGAACTCGGCCTGGGCGCTGCTGTACTGGCTGAGCCGGTGCGTATCTGGCGCCACGCTGGCGCACGTGCTGCCGACGCTGGCGCTGACGGTGCCGGGCGCGCTGCTCCACCTGGTGCCGGCCGCCGGCTGGGTGCGGCTCCGGCAGCTGCTCACCGACGGACGCCGCACCGTCGCCAACTCCGGTAGGCGCGCTCTGGTGACCGCCAGCTGACCCGTCCACGGTCAACAGCCGATCAGCAGGGACCGATCAGTGGCTTTGCTATTATCGCTCGTTGCACGCAGAAGTGCGCCGATGTTGGATTACAATGGTTCGGCAAACGGAAAAGTCGTCTGATGCGCAGAAGAGAGCTGCGTTTAGTGCGCAGAAACAAACCGCATAAACTCCTTTTGATGTGACATTTGGTTTTGCGGGGATATTTTTATGCATTACAATAGCTGACACATTTTGGTCTTGATAAGGATCCATGGCAGGTGATCCCGCCATACGTACATACTAGCAGTGTTTGCATTGTGACGAGCTTAAGTTCGTGGTGTGACGGCCGATGACAAACCAACGGCTCAGTCCATAGTTACGATCGAGTGCAGGTCGCGAAGGTGCCAGTGGTTCAGTTGTTGGGAGCTGTTGGTGTTACGCTGCGTGCTCGACGGTGGACCTCTGGGCGATCGTCTAGAGATGCTTTGTTATCCTCGATGCGTTGACGTTTGTTCTCCACCGGCCAGGCTTGCTTCAGGATGAAGACTGCGAGCGAGATTTCGTGCCAGAAGCCTCCCCGGAGACGCAAGCATACCTGGACGTCATGGCCGATATCATCAATGGACGGGAACCGTCGCCAGGTACGACAGGGTCAAATGGGAGCCGTCGCCAGGTACGACAGGGCAGACGGGAGCCGTCGCCAGGTACGACAGGGTCAAATGGGAGCCGTCATCAGGTACGACAGGGCAGACGGGAGCCGTCGCCAGGTACGACACGGTCAAATGGGAACCGTCAGCCGTCAGCTACGACAGGGTCAGACGGGAGCCGTCACCAGATAGGACAGGATCAGACGGGAGCCGTTGCCAGGTAGGACAGGGCAGACGGGAGCCGTTACCAGGTAGGACAGGGTCAGACGGGAGCCTTCACCAGGTAGGGCAGGGCCAGACGGGAGCCGTCACCATGTAGGACAGGGTCAGACGGGAGCCGTCACCAAGTAGGACAGGGCAGACGGGAGCCGTTACCAGGTAATACAGGGTCAGACAGAGGCGGTCACCAGGTACGGCGGGGTCAGATGGGGGCTGTTCACGGGGTACGACAGGCTCAGATGGCGGTAAGGGTTGGAAGGCATCGGCGGGAATTTGTGAGGTTAAAAAGTCGACTGAGGGAAAAGGCTAGTCTGTTTGGGATAGTCATATTTTACGAACGCCATGGATGTGTTTGGCTGTAGAAAGATAACTAAATGTCGAACACAATTTAGTTGCGTGAGGATAAATGGAACGGGCTTTGCTAAGGAACTTGAAGAAGTTGTGTGCTCCGTTTGATAAGGTTTTCAATAATAAAATGTAAATGGTTCGGCGGAACGGCAGCATAGGGTCTTTTTACGTCTCCAACCGGTCATAACCACTAAGACCCAACAATGTCGTACCCAGTATGTTTCTTTCCCTACATGGCCATTTTAGACGAAAGTGTCCGTTGTGAGCCATCCTTGCTGAAATGTTTGGTCCCAACCTTTTGAATGGATAATTTCTGCCATAGGCACCCAGCTAAGACGTGCGTGCCACGTGGGCACTGACACTGCCACCCGATCGTGAAATCCCGGTTCAGCGGCAGAATTTTGGCCGCGGAAGCTTAACGTGCCACGATGTGTGGCGCGGTCCGCTCTGCTCTCTGATGTCGCCAGACCCTTAAGCGAGGTTGCTTCCACCATCCGCAGGCCACCCCAGTCTGGAGTAAATAGCGGCCTCCTAAAGCGACTCGAACCCACCCCTCAATGGATGGTTGAATCGGAAACCAGGCGTTCTAGCGAACTGAGCTTTAGGAATGGACGTCTTCGGAGCTCAAAAGGGCTATTTTTTATCCGTGGCTCACTTTAGGGGCGAAGTTCTTTTTTCGATGTTTGAGACCCGTTTCGATAGGGAAGTGTCCGCCTTAATCATTTCAGGGTATGAGCACTACAGGCGCCTTTCGCTGCACAAAAAGGAATGGGGTCTTGGACCTCTAGTGCTAGAGCCATATGGCTCCCGGACCATTAGCTCGCCCTGCTAGCCAGCTGGTGCACCGCGAGTATAGTGTGCAAGTGCCTAAATATCGATGTACGGCCCAACTGGTTATTCGCCCCTATTAACAGCCCGCAGGGTGTGCGCGCACGCGTGTGTGCATGTGTAAATTTTCTCTTTTTTTCACCATGAGTTGTTCATTTGGTGTTTGCCTCTGGTCTATCATGTTGCTGGTCACGATATAAAAGTTGACGTTAGATTCGCACTAGCGTCGCTGTTTTGTTGTCATTAGATGTCCACGAAGTCGCTGCCTTTTCCGCGGGCCTGGCAGCCGCCCCTGGCTATGACGAGGAAAGCGACGACGACGCTCTGCTGGCGCCATCCGTGGAGCGCAGTGCCGAGCTGGACTTCCGCGGCCTGCCGCTGACTGAACGGGGTGCAGACGCGGACGCCACCCCGGCGGCGGCGGCGGCGGGCGGTTGGCAAGCCGACTGGAGCGGCGCCGGCGAGACGGCGGCGGCGTTGGGCCGGGCCGCCCTCAGCTCGGCCGCCGCCGCCTGCGGCCGGGCGGCGCAGCTGGTGACGGCCGTCCAGCCGCCGCCGCCGGGCGACGACAGCGACTCCGACTTCGAACTGATCGGCGACGAGGAGGCGCTGGGTGCAGAGGGCCACTAGCGGCCGCCAGCCCCGCTCTTCGGCACCACGGTGACGTGGTGATGGACGGTCCGCACTGACACAAGGCCGGACTCGGCTGGAGACCGAGTGCCGGGAGAAAGACAATTGGTTTGTCGCCATGAGGCGCATGCCTGTTTGCACATAGGGAAGTTGCGCTGTGACACTTGTGCTACTACAATCACGGTTTTGATAGAGATGCCGGTAGTGTAGGATAGGCGCGCGAGCTATCTTGGAGCAGTATAGTGCCTGGTAGCAGTGGAGTTGTGTATTTTGTGCTGATAGATGGTTTGACTGGCCCCCAGGTGCGAGAAAGGAAGGCATCGTTTGGCATTTATTTTGAACTTTGTGTGGTACACTGTACAGTGTGTTCCCGGACGTCTAATAAGAGTCGATATTTTTGTTTGTACACCACGGTGTAGTGCTCTGCGTGTTCCTCGATAATGTGTTGCCAGCTTACTTGTGGAAGATGGCGGGAATCTGCTGGGGCGGGAGTGCCCATGCGATGTGAATTTGAAGCGTGCTGCCACTGGATGCGCCGCTGGTTGTGAGACCTTTTCTTGTCGCATATTGCTTCAAATAAAAACGTCTGAAGGACAAATGTACAATCGAGTCTGGACTGCGTAAGCTAAGTTAATTTTGTTTCCTGTTCCATGCATTTTTTTCAGGTTTAGAATTCACAGCGCTGATCGTATAGGCACAGCACGTATCAATGCAAGCGAATCTACGTTCGGGGTGTAACCATTGATACTTTCAATATCAATGCATGCACCCAGTCTGGCGAACAATCTTATTCAGGATGTCTGCACATGTAGGCAAACTGGCAATTTAAGCAACGTACGTGTGCGTAGTGTCAATAGAGGTTAGCATATGCTGGGCGATTTCCGTTCTGATTTTTGAACGATGGGCTCATGTCTTAAATTTTAGTTCCATCTGTTTGAAAGGCGGATTCTGACTCAGAGCATTGGCCGAGAGGGGCGCTGCGCATACCATGAGTCCAAGTTGTCCGTCCAGATTCGCGGACAACGTTGCCTTCTCCCGCGCACAGGTGTCGCTGGGGAACGCATCGACTAGCCGTTGGAATCAGCGCACCCCCGCGCTCTAGTACACCCTCAACAACTGCGCATCAGCGCGCCCCTACGCCCTAGTACACCCTCAACAATTGCGCGTCAGCGCGGCCCTGCCGCAGCAGCAGCTGTGACAGGGCCGCGCTGACCAGCCGGTAAAATCAGCGCACCCTCACGCTCTAGTACACCTTCAACAATTGCGCATCAGCGCGCCCCCACGCTCCAGTACACCTTCAACAATGGCGATCAGCGCGCCCCCCACGCTCCAGTACACCTTCAACAATTGCGCGTCAGGCGCGGCCCTGTCGCAGCAGGAGCTGCGACCGGGCCGCGCTGACCGGCCGGTGGAATCAGCAAGCCCCCACGCTCTAGTACACCTCCAACAAGTGCGCAGCAGCGCGGTCCTGTCGCAGCAGCAGCTGCGGGGACCCTATCCCTGCACGGCTATGAGCGGCGCAATGCTGGGACTGATATCCTCATTCAGTGCCGTAGCTGCTCGCGTATCTCGCAGCGCAAACATTTGCGGACGCCGGGTGCTCCGAAGCACCGTCCTGCAGGACATTCGACGGGAACCCAGCCTCGTCCCTTGCCAAGGCGGCCATCCTTCAGACTGGTGCCTCAATGATGACCATTCCGCACCGTCAATCACCCTGTTTTACGGGGCTCGTTTGATTCCGATTCGTTCAAAAGGAGAGAGGTGCCTGCAACCTACGGGCCTGAAAACGAAAGGCTGGAGGCCTATGTCGCACAGCGGTCACGTGCAATACCACAATCATGCAGTGTGGGTGTAACAACCGACATCGTTTTCCGGGAGACTGCGCGTTATCAAGCCAACCGTGGCGAGAAACCCGTGGCTGCCAGCTCTGCTGGGCTCTCTCCTTCGCAAGTCACCGCAGCGTGCCGAAGAATGCATCAGGCGTGGGCGGATCGGGCAAGGTAACAGCGATCTCGCTCGCACCGCCCGACACGAGCACTTCGCAATACGGATGGCCAGTTCAGGACACCTCGGCGGAAACACGCCCGAGAGCTGGCTTTCCGTGGAACGCTGCGGCTGGTCAGCACCGTCCTTCCTCCTCGCGCTGCGCATGCTGCGACGCGGAAACGTTCTCGTCACTGGAGCGCGGTCTGCACTGAACCAGGGCAGCGCGGCTCCTACCATTCGGAGAGGCGTCGGGACCACGCGTGGGGTGGCACAGTGCGCGGGTCTCGGCCACTCTATTGGCCTAGTGGACCGCCCGAGTGCTGGGCAGGTGAATGGATGCTGTAGTCTGGTCGCGGGCGCCCCATGCGGTTAGCGACGTGGTCGGCGGGCCCATTCCCATGGAGTGCTGCGTGGTTCGGGACCCGCTCCGGTGTAATGCGTTTTCCCTGAGCACGACGGTGTTAAGTGTTGTGCCCAGACCTCCAGGACAGGGAACGCCTGCAGGGAGTCGAGACCGCAGTTCAGCAGCTGGGGCTCGGCCGAAGCGCCGGAACACACCAGGATGTCACAGATGCCGGCTTCTTTGAGCCTTTCGAGCGAGCTGGGTGACGGCTTGTCGCGTTTTGGCCGGCCGCCTTAAACCATTACTGAAGAAAGCCACGCTGGAGTTATAGGTCAATGTTCATGAAAATCAGCTTACATCGTCCTCTCAGGGTTGAACGCAAACAACTTCTTATGGCTCCGCAAAAAGGCTAACTAACCACCTGTCACAGTCAGACACAGGTACACACACGCACTCTTTGAAACGGCGGCGCTGAGATAATGTGCTCACTGTCACAGGTCCATCACACCTAGAGCGTTCGAACTACATCTTGGCAACGAATATGTCTTGCACCATAGCGGCCACATGCAGCAGGGCTATCACCTGAACTGAGTACTGGTGCAGAAGTCCAACGCGTTACTGATACATCGCACAAACCACGGAATTTCATGGTGGCAATGTGCCGGGTTTATCGGGGGGTGCCATCCCATGCCGCGCGGCGCGTCGGCCTCTGGCGAGGAGAGGGCGCGCCGGATCGCCTCCTGCCCGCTGGCGTCCGTCCCGGCCGGTCGGCTCCAACAGCAGCCCCAGCCGAAACTCGGGTCTGCGGGACGTCGTCTGACAGCACCTGGGGGTCGGCGGCAGGTACAGGGTCCGTGGTGCGGCCGAAAGAATTTCATAGCAACGAAAGTCCATTACGGGTTTCCCTACAAGATCACCTGACATTTAGCCTTGTGTGAGAAACACAGTATCGACGAAAACTAAGCGATATTTGAAGTACTTGATTGGCAGCAAAAGTATGCCAGTCATACAAACCGCATGCTTTACGTCTTCTTAGTAAGATGGAGGCCAGTTTGGCCGAATTG